TTCCTTAAATGTGGATGCTGCCGCAAAGGAGGCTAACCGCACTTGTCCCATTTCCTCAAAAGTGTTCCTTATTTCGACTTCTACCCTGTTAATCATTCCTCAATTCATGTCCATTGGTAGGGTCGTTGGTTTTTGTTACTGGTAACAAGCTGCGTGCTCTTAAGGGTTGTGTGTCCTCATGACCTTCCTCCTACCACCGTAACAGGCGATGGTAAACAGCTCTGGCGAGGTTACGTCTTTGCCATACACGCTTAACTCGCCGGCATTTAATGGAGCCTTCTCCTTATTATCCAAACTGCATTGTCTCTCTTACGGTCGTGCATATCCTTGTTGAATGTCCCGACTTCTAGGATGTGCATGCGTCTTGCTTCCCAACTGTCCCTTGCAGTCACTTGTCCCTTGATAGAATCCATGGTGATTCGGATACCTTTGATGTTCCTTATTGATATTTAGCGCCTTTTGAATATCTTGCACATTTAACGGTGCTAAAAAGCGTCCCCGGCTTGGTGACTTCTTTTGATAGTTAGTTACTTACATCAGGGTTTGTTTGATCAGTCCTCTCTGTAAGTTCATTGACTTTGACAATCCATCAGCATCAGTTTACCTTGTTTTTGGGCTCATCACTGATCCTCTGCTGTGTGTGGGGCAGCTTTTGCTTCAGATGTTCCATTAGATTTTTTCGCACACTTTTCTCCATCATTTTGCATGGTCTGCAAGTTAAGAACACTGGCCTGTAGTGCCAGTTTGTCTTCTGTCTATCACCCTTCTTGAATGTCGGGACTACATTAGCCATCTTCCAAATTTTTGGCAGTTCACATTTTACCAGTAATTTGTTGTACACCATGGAGAGTGGAAGGCCTTCTGCTCCTTCCTTTTGCATCCATGGTGAGATTTCATCTGGGCCTATAGGCTTTGTCACATCCAAATCTAGCAGATGCTTCCTTACCTCCCCACTAGTAACCTCAAACTCCTCTAGTGGTGACTGGTTAAATATTCCCTCTCTTATCTCTGGAACGTTTCCTTGCTCTACTGTGAAAACCTCCTGGAATTTCTTATTGAGTTCCTCACACGCTTCCTTGTAGTTTGTAGTGAATCAGTCTGCCCCTCTCCTCAGTTTCATTATCTGTTCCTTCACTGTTGTGTTTCTCCTGATGTGGCTGTTCAGCAATTTTGGTTAAGTCTTTATCTTGCTCACTATGTCATTTTCATTTTGCTGCTCTGCCTCTCTTCTCACCCTGACGTATTAATTCCTGGCGCTCTGGTATCTTTCTCTGCTCTGTAGAGTACTTTTATTTCTATAGCTTCTCTATGCCCTTGTACTTAGTTGCTTTGATAGTTTTCATTTCTGATTAAACCATGGGTTTCTTATCTGCATTTCGTTTTTTTTTTCATTTGAACTGGGACAAACTTGTCTGTTGCCTACATCACACTTCTGTGTGATGTAGTCCATCATGTCTTGAGCCATCTTTCCTCTGAGCTCTGTTTCCCAAACGATCTTCGATAGGAATTTTCTTATCTCCTCATAGTTTCCCTTGCAAAATGCCGGCTTTTTTCTGCTCCCTTCCCTGAGTGCCTTAACTCAACTTTGGTCAGGTACTCAAACATCAGTACACTGTGATTACCCATTCCTACTGGGGCCTCGAAACCGATTTCCCTTATGTCTGAGTCGTTCAGAATGAAGACTAGGTCGAATCTCACTGGTTCATTGTTGCCTCTCATTCTCGTGGGTCCCCTGAAATGCTGACTTAAAAAGTTCCTTGTCACCTTCAACAGATTCGCTTTCTATTTTTCCTCACCTCCATGTGGTTTCTTGTTTTTCCAATCTATCCTTCCATGATTAAAGTTCTCCATGATGAGCAGATGGGATCGATTTCTACAGGCAGCAGCAGCTGCTCTCTCAATTAAAATATTAACTGCCATGTTGTTTCTGTCATACACTTGCCTGGGTCTTCTGTCATTTGGTGGAGGATTATATATATCACTGGAACTACTACTCTAGGTTCTCCCCATCGTCATGGTGTCTGTTATGAAGTCTGAACTTTTTGCAGCCCAGAAAAGCCATATCCTCGCAACTACATTCCTCTCTCATCAGTAGGGCCACTCCGCTTCCTTCCCTTCCTTTCCTCTCTTTTCTATTATAGTGTAGTCCTGGGGAAACACCGCATTCGTTATGATTCCTGAGAGTTTTGTTTCTGCAAGTTCAATGACATCTGGGTTCACTTCTTGTGTTCTTTCCCTAAGTTTGTGTGCCTTGTTTGGAATCCCATCTATGTTCGAGTACATTACCTTGAAGATGACTCTCTTCTGTCCATCCTCAGTTTTTCTTGATTCCACTGGAGTTGGGGGACATGGAGTGTCTGGGATGGGAGGGCTTAGGAAAGAGGAACTATGGAATCTGGGTGTAAGGGGAGCTTGTAGGATCTAGTACAGGGGGACTAGGAGGGTCTGGGGTGGAATGGTTGAGAGGGTCTGGGGACGGGGGTCAATTAGGGCATGGGATGGGGAAGCAGGGGGGGGCATGTGGTAGGGGGGAGGGAGGTCATGGGTTGGGGGAATGCTAGGGGAGCCTGGGGTGGGGGCAGGGAATGCAGGGGAATCTGGGGTGGGGTGGGGGGGACAGGGGGGGTCTGCGGTTGGGGAGGCAAAGGGAGCTTGGGGTGGGGAAACTGGAAAGGGGATGTGCTGGAAAAACATGAGAGGGCATGGGATGTGGGAACAGGGGAGTGCCTGGCGAGGGGAACAGGGAGGGCCTGTGGAGGGGGAAGGGGGTTGGGGAAGAAGGGCATTAGGGAGAAACATGAAGGGCCTGGTGTCAGGGTGCTTGGGGGTATGGTCTGAAGAGGGTCTCTACTGGCTGGGGAGGTGCAGGTGATTGGTGGGGAATGGTTGTGGTGTGGGATGGTGGGAGGCTTCTGTTATATTCCTTCCTGGGGATACTGGCATGCTTGTGAGGGGATTCCCACTCCCCTCAAAAGTTATTGAAGATACTGAGTAGAGTTCTGTGGCTCCTCCATCCCCAATCCTTTCTTTGCGTCTCCTCCTTGTTTCTGCAGCCTTCCTTCTATCTTCCCTCATAATGTCCCGTTGCAGAAAGACATCCTTGTATCCCTTTAACGTCATAAAACTGCTCTTCCTTAATAGGATTTCCTCTTTTGTTACCTTTTTTGTGAGCACTACCTTTATCAGTCGTTTCCTTTCCTGCTTGTAGCTGCCTAGCCCGAAAACCTTCTCTATGTTGCCATTAGCCCAACTATATCCAGACCCTCCAAGATCTTTGTCATAGTTGCTCGATTCTTCTTTCTCCACTCCTCTAGGCTTGATACTTCTGGTCCCTGTACTCCAACAACTATAACTGCTCTTTTCCTGTACTCCTACAACTATAACTGCTCTTTTTCTTTCCAGCATTTGTTCAGTGCACTTTCCAGCTTCCTGGGAAGTAGCCGCATTCATAGCTGCTTCCTCTAAAGAGCCCTTGGCACTTGGGTTGTTTTGCAGCATTTCTGGAAACAAGTCTCTCTCTGGAAGGAACCCTCTGTTATCTTCATCCAGTTTCCAGGAGGTTGTGTACCTCGAATGGTTCGAATTTTGATTTCCCTGAGTCTCTTTATCTCTTCCTTGGCATCCCCCAACTAACTCCAAAGGCTTTGTATTAATGTATGTATTTACTGCAGTTCTCTGCTGAATCTCTGTAGTGCCTGGTTGATCCAGTCACAGATAGTATCCATCATTCTCCCTCATCCCTGTGTGTTATGTTCCTCGGTCATTTTCCCTCCCTGTTCCACTTATATTAAGTGGGCCTGCGATTGAGGCAGTGAGAGAGAGAGAGAGAGAGAGAGAGAGAGAGAGAGAGAGAGAGAGAGAGAGAGAGAGAGAGAGAGAGAGAGAGAGAGAGAGAGAGAGAGAGAGAGAGAGAGAGAGAGAGAGAGAGAGAGAGAGAGAGAGAGAGAGAGAGAGAGAGAGAGAGAGAGAGAGAGAGAGAGTGTGTGTGTGTGTGTGTGTGTGTGTGTGTGTGTGTGTGTGTGTGTGTGTGTGTGTGTGTGTGTGTGTGTGTGTGTGTGTGTGGTGTGTGTGTGTGTGTGTGTGTGTGTGTGTGTGTGTGTGTGTGTGTGTGTGTGTGTGTGTGTGTGTGTGTGTGTGTGTGTGTGTGTGTGTGTGTGTGTGTGTGTGTGTGTGTGTGTGTGTGTGTGTGTGTGTGTGTGTGTGTGTGGGTGTGTGTGTGTGTGTGTGTGTGTGTGTGTGTGTGTGTGTGTGTGTGTGTGTGTGTGTGTGTGTGTGTGTGTGTGTGTGTGTGTGTGTGTGTGTGTGTGTGTGTGTGTGTGTGTGTGTGTGTGTGTGTGTGTGTGTGTGTGTGTGTGTGTGTGTGTGTGTGTGTGTGTGTGTGTGTGTGTGTGTGTGTGTGTGTGTGTGTGTGTGTGTGTGTGTGTGTGTGTGTGTGTGTGTGTGTGTGTGTGGGTGTGTGTGTGTGTGTGTGTGTGTGTGTGTGTGTGTGTGTGTGTGTGTGTGTGTGTGTGTGCATATCTGTTTGTATATAAATATTTTAACTATTGTCGTCAGGGTTACATTCGAATGAGAATTCAATACTGTCTGTGCTGGAGGCGGGGATACCATGAGGTCGCCTGAGGTGACCATTAATTGTCCACTTGCGTGTGAGAGTCCGCGGCCCACACGCGCATGGGTGGGTAGGTTGGCAGCACATGGGTGGGTAGGTTGGCAGCACATGGGTGGGTATGTTGGCAGCACATGGGTGGGTAGGTTGGCAGCACATGGGTGGGTAGGTTGGCAGCACATGGGTGGGTAGGTTGGCAGCGCATGGGTGGGTAGGTTGGCAGCACATGGGTGGGTATGTTGGCAGCACATGGGTGGGTAGGTTGGCAGCACATGGGTGGGTAGGTTGGCAGCACATGGGTGGGTAGGTTGGCAGCGCATGGGTGGGTAGGTTTTCAGCGCATGGGTGGATGAACTGTTGAGTGAGTGAGTGTTTATCCCTGCCGCAGGTGGGGGATGCGGGTGGCGGCGAGGCTGCGGGCGGCGCTGGCGGCAGTCTGCGGATTGTCCATGGTGATGATGTGTGGCTACTGGCGCCTGCTGGTGGGCCTGCCCACACCTCCGCCACACTCACAGCCACACCATGGACGCCTCGAACATCGACCTCACTACACTCACACTCACGGAAATCACTACCTCGTCCAGGAAAGTTCCGTCCAGATGCTAGGGAAGTACAATATCAACCACGGGAACTACATCAATATCCAGAAGCAACTCAGCTCACCTCATAGACAAAACACCCACGATATATCTAGTTCCGTCCACAGCCAGAATGACAGTACCCACAGTCAGGAGGACAGTATCCACAGCCAAGATGACAGTACCCACAGTCTGGAGGACAGTACCCACAGCCGAGATAACAGTACCCACAGCCGAGATAACAGTACCCACAGCCGAGATAACAGTACCCACAGCCGAGATAACAGTACCCACAGCCGGGATGACAGTACCCACAGCCGGGATGACAGTACCCACAGCCGGGATGACAGTACCCACAGCCGGGATGACAGTACCCACAACTATATAAAAGTGAATAATGATCCCAGAAAAATGAATAAGACAGACAAGAATGTGAAGGAAGCAGATGGCAGCCCCATGGCCAGTGCTCCTGGCTCCGAAGTGGTTCGTCGCGGCCAAACACAGTCAAGACGTGACAAGAACGAGTCAGATCAGGACCAAACAGAATCCGGTGCTTCAGACCCGAGACATGAACGGAGAGAGTCACATCACCACCAAACAGAGTCACTACTGAAAGAAAACGCTAATTTAGATAAAGAAAATAGCCAACAAAGTTATAAAATTGGCAAGTTACATTATGAAAGTAACCCGAAATCATATAAAAGCAGTAAGAATGCTAATCATAGCAATGTATATTATAGAAACAGTGATCAAGAAGGAGCCGCAGGGAGAACAGACTACAATTTTAGTCAGATAGGAAAATATTACGTGGAACGTGATGTTGCACACGACGAACGAGGTCATGAGAGGTCACAGGACGACGAACGAGGTCAAGAGAGGTCACAGGACGACGAACGAGGTCAAGAGAGGTCACAGGACGACGAACGAGGTCAAAAGTGGTCACAGGACGACGAACGAGGTCAAGAGAGGTCACAGGACGACGAACGAGGTCAAGAGAGGTGGCCTCGGGTCATCCTGTTGATCGCCAGCTGGCGGAGTGGGTCGACCTTCCTGGGGGAGCTCCTGGCCACCGCCGTTCAAGACACCTTCTACAGGTAAGAATTATGACAAATAATTCCTGTTCGCATCCGCTAGTGTGACGGGCGCGCCGTTAACAGCCTTCACTGGTCCCATAGTGTGACGGGCGCGCCGTTAACAGCCTTCACTGGTCCCATAGGGTGACGGGCGCACCGTTAACAGCCTTCACTGGTCTCATACTGTGACGGGCGCGCCGTTAACAGCCTTCACTGGTCCCATAGTATGACGGGCGCGCCGTTAACAGCCTTCACTGGTCCCATAGGGTGACGGGCGCACCGTTAACAGCCTTCACTGGTCTCATACTGTGACGGGCGCGCCGTTAACAGCCTTTACTGGTCCCATAGTGTGACGGGCGCGCTGTCGACCGACTTCACTGGCGCCATAGTGTGACGGGCGCACCATCGCCAGCTTTCACTGGTCCCAAAGTGTGACGGGCGCGCCGTTAACAGCTTTCACTAGTCCCATGGTGTGACGGGCGCAACATCGTCAACTTTCACTGGTCCCATAGTGTGACGGGCGCACCATCGCCAACTTTCACTGGTCCCATAGTGTGACGGGCGCACCATCGCCAACTTTCACTGGTCCCATAGTGTGACGGGCGCACCATCGCCAACTTTCACTGGTCCCATAGTGTGACGGGCGCACCGTCGGCCAACCTTCACTGGTCCCATAGTGTGACGGGCGCACCGTCGCCAACCTTCACTGGTCCCATAGTGTGACGGGCGCACCGTCGCCAACCTTCACTGGTCCCATAGTGTGACGGGCGCACCGTCGCCAACCTTCACTGGTCCCATAGTGTGACGGGCGCACCGAGTATAGACTCTGTCCCTCCCACCTTCGCCTATTGGACGTGGGTGGGATTGGACGGGGGTGGGGAGCGATGGAGGTGGGGAGGGACGGAGGTGGGGAGAGACGGAGGTGGGGAAGAACGGAATAGGGGAGGGGTGGAGAAGGGTAGGGACCGAGGTTGGCATGAACGGAGGTTGGAAGGGGGTGGAGGTGGGGTGGGATGGAGGTGGGGAGGGACGGAGGTGGGGAAGGACGGAGGTGGGGTGGGACGGAAGTGGGGAGGGGACGGAGGTGGAAGAGGGACGGAGGTGTCGAAGGGGTGGAGATGGGAAGGGAACGAGGTTGGGAGGGACGGAGGTTGGAAAGGGGTGGAGGTAGGGTTGGACGGAAGTGGGGAGGGGACCGAGGTTGGGAGGGACGGAGGTGGGGTAGGGTGGAGGTGGGGTGGGACGGATGTGGGGAGAGGGGAAAGGAGGTGGGGAGGGACGGAGGTGGGGAGGGACGGAGGTGGGGAGGGACGGAGGTGGGGAGGGGCGGTGGTAGGTGAGTGACTGTGGGGAATCTTCCAGCAGATAAATTCATTAAATGTAGCTGATGATATCGAGTTGACTGTATTAGGAAATAGTAGACTGTATTAAAGTTCTTGACTTCTACTGGGTTTACCCTAAACACATATCATGGCAGGTTATTCAGTTGTAGTTTTCCTATCTATCGATATTTCTCGAAAGATAGGAAAATTGTAATAATGGTTAGTTAACTAAACTACTGTTATTATTTTAAACACTCAATGGCCTTATGTGTCTAGACAGCTTCAACATGAGGACAAATGAGCATCGGGTTAATGAGTGAGGTGTGATGCTCGTGACCTATGGCGGCTAGTTCATGTCGGTGGGGTGAGAATATTAATACTAATATTTGTAGTATTAACTACTACAAATACTAATCATTACAGATATATCACGTTCAGTAGAATTAGTTAGTTAAATATAATAGGCTCACCATGATTTTTTGGATCGCCTTCGCTATAACCGGTCGTCTATCTATTATATTATAAAAAGGTCAATTAATATGAATAGACTAGATACTAGACAAACCGGATACAGGGTACACTCATAATTAGAGGTTGCCGCAGCTGTTAACAGCCTACACTGGTTGGTAGTGACAACATCCAACATTATCTTCGACATCCGTACTGTAACAGTACGGATGTCGAAGATAAGCGCCTCTGCTAAGTTTGGTTCCTCACGAGACCATTTCTAGATCAACAACCGCTTCTCTTCCTCCCCTGGGCATATTCACGTTACTAGTCACGCCACGAATTTCTACCCACTTATTAATGAGGACAGAGAAGCGTTATTTTATGCAATATTTTATCAGTTCCAATCACAAGAAACAGTGTTTTACTGTTTGTAATGCTGAACTGGAAGTTCCAAGAAAATAAATTACATTTAATATATAAAAGTTTATGGTGTGATTATTTCATTTCCGATTGACTTGACTAGTCACGTCAGGAATAATTCGCCTCATGGAGAAAGTTACTTAGTTCTACCTAAGGTTTACTTAACTCCAGTCTAATACGGTGGTGGGGAGGGATGGAGGTGGGGAGGGACGGAGGTGGGTAGAAATGGAGGTGGGTAGAAATGGAGGTGGGTAGAAATGGAGGTGGGGAGGGACGGAGGTGTGGAGGGACGGAGGTCAGGAGGGATGGAGGTGGTGAGTGACGGAGGTGGGGAGGGACGGAGGTGGGGAGTGACAGAAGTGGGGAGGGACGGAGGTGGGGAGGGACGGAGGTGGGGAGTGACGGAAGTGGGGAGGGACGGAGGTGGTGAGTGACGGAGGTGGTGAGTGACGGAGGTGGGGAGTGACGGAAGTGGGGAGTGACGGAGGTGGGGAGGGATGGAGGTAGGGAGGGATGGAGGTGGGGAGGGACTGAGGTGGAGAGAGATGGAGGTGAGGGAGGGACGGAGGGATGGAGGTGGGGAGTGACGGAGATGGGGAGTGACGGAGGTGGGGATGGGACGGAGGTGGGGAAGGGACGGAGGTGGGGAGGGACGGAGATGTGGAGGGACGGAGGTGGGGAGGGACGGAGGTGGGGAGTGACAGAGGTGGGGAGGGACGGAGGTTGGGGAGGGACGGAGGTGGGGAGTGACGGAGGTGGGTAGAAATGGAGGTGGGGAGGGATGGAGGTGGGGTGGGACAGAGGTGGGGAGGGACTGAGGTGGGGAGGGACGGAGGAGGGTAGGGACGGATGTGGGGAGGGGGAATACCTTGTTACCTTACGATGAGGTGATTTCTGGGCTCATCGTCCCCGCGGCTCGGTCGTCGACCAGGCCTCCTGATTGCTGGACTGATCGACCAGGCTGTTTGACGCGTCTGCTCGCAGCCTGACGTACGAATCACTGCCTGGTTGAGCAGGTATCCTTTTGAGGTGCTTTTCCAATTCAATCTTGAACACTGTGAGAAGTCGGCCAGTTATGTCCTTATGTGTAGTGGAAGCGTGTTGAACAGTCTCTGTCCTCTGATGTTGATAGAGTTCTCTCTCAGAGTACCCGTTGTATCTCTGCTTTTCAACGGTGGTATTCTGCACATCCTGCCATGCCTTTTGGTATCATGAGATGTTATTTCTGTGTGCAGGTTTGGGACCAGCCCCTCTATTATTTTCCTCGTGTAAATTATTATGTATCTCTCCCGCCTGCGCTCAAGGGAATACAGATTTAGGCTCTTTAGTGGATTCTAGCAGTAAAGGATCTCTGCACGCTCTCCAGGTCAGCAATTTCTCCAGCTTTGAAAGGGGCTGTTATTGTGCTGCAGTACTCCATTCTAGAGAGCACTAGCGTTTTGAAAAGTATCATCATCGTTACAGCATCTCTAGTGTGAAGTTCTTGTTATCCAACCTTTCATTTTTCTTGCAGTTGTGACGGCTACTTTATTGTGTTCTTTAAAGGTAAGGTCTTCCGACATGAGTACACCCAGATACTTTACATTGCCTTTTCGTTCTATGTTATGATTTGCCTGAGTTTTGTACGTGGTTTCCGTTTATATATTTTCATTTTTTCAGTAGCGCATGAGCTGGAACTTATCTTCGTTAAACACCATATTATTTTCTGTAGCCCATTGAAAGACCTGATCTACATCTGATTGGAGGTTTGCCGTGTCCTCATGTTGCCTGCTCTCATGAAAATCCTAGTGTCATCTGCAAAGGATGATACAGTGTTATAGATTGTGTCCTTGTCTATGTCCAATATGGAATGAGAAAAAGTAATGGAGCAAGCACAGTACCCTGGGGGACTGAGCTCTTCACGGATGATGCGCTGGATTTTATTTTGTTGACTATTACACATTGGGTTCTGTTAGTCAGGAAATTGTAGATCCATCTGCCTATTTTTCCGGTAATTCCTTTTGAACGCATTTTATGTGCAATAACACCATGGTCACATTTGTCAAAGACTTTTGCGAAATCTGTGTAAATTACATCAGCATTTTATTTGTCTTCCATGGCATCTAATGCCATGTCATAATGGTCCAGCAACTGTGACTGGCAAGAGTGCACTGTTCTGAAACCATGTTGTCCGGGGTTATGGAGATGCTGTGATTCCATGTATTTTGTGATCTTACTTCTTAGCACTCTCTCAAAGAATTTTATGATGTGCGATGTTAGTGCTATCGGTCTGTATTTTTTTGCCTCTGCCTTATTTCCTTCTTTATGGAGTGGTGCTATCTTTGCTGTTTTTAGTATGTCAGGGATAACGCCAGTATCTAGGCTTTGTCTCCAAAGAATGTGAAGGGCTTGCAATCGTGTTTTTTTTACAGTTCTTGATGAATATGGAGTTCCAAGAATTCGGGCCTGGTGTAGAGTGCATAGGCACACTGTTTATGTCTTCTTCAGAATCCAGCGGGGATAGAGTGACTTCTGATATATGATTTAATGTTGGTATCATATCCATGAAAAATTCATTTGGGTTATCAATTTTTAGTGTGTTTAGTGGCTCGCTGAAAACAGTCGTACTGCTTCCTCAGTAACTCGCTCATTTCTTTGTTGTCATTGGTGAAAGTTCCATCTCCCTTTTGCAGGGGCCCGATACTAGATGTGGTTTTTTATCTTGATTTTGCATAGGAGAAAAAATATTTCGGATTTTTCTCTATTTCACTGATGGCCTTTTGCTCTCTTTGCCTCTCCTGGGTTTTGTATGATTCTTGTAGCTTGAGTTCAATTGTTTCTATTTCTCTACCTAACCTTCTTCGCCGTTCTTGAGATAGGGTGCGACTCTCAAGTTGTTCCGCGATTCGTTTTCTTCGCCTATAAAGGGAACGACGTTCCCGTTCCAATCTGCATCTCTTCCTCTTTTTTTTCTTAGAGGGTATGCGGTTTGAACATATTTCTAGTGCTACTGAGCTTATTTTTTCCATGCATAGGTTCAGATTTGCATTTTCTAGCTGTTCTTCCCAGTTTATTTCTGTGAAGTCCTGGTTTATTTGCTCCCAGTTTATCTGTTTATTATTGAAGTTGAATTTGCTGAAATCTCCTCCACCGGGAATCGGGACTGGTTTTGAAGGTCTATTTCCCATTCTTGTCAGAACTTCAATTAAGTTGTGATCTGAGTAACTGGTATTTGTTATCATAATGTTCCTGATCAATTATCATTATTGGTGAAAATGAGGTCCAGCGTGTTCTCCTTCCTAGTTGGTTCTACTATTTGCTGATTTAAGACAAACCTGTCGTACATCTGTAGCAGGTCATTTGCATGTGCCTGTTCATTTAGGCTACTTCTTGATATTCTTTCTGATATTACTGTATTAGCCAGGTGCTTCCATTTCAGGTGCCGTAGGTTGAAGTCCCCAAGCAGGATGATGTTCGGGGCTGGATTTGTGAGGTTTTCCAAGCAGTGTTCTATTTTCATTAGTTGGTCTTTAAACTGCTGAGGGTTTGCCTCCTGTGTCTTATATACAAGGACAATAACTACATTTAGGATGGAGGAGGGTAGGGATGGAGGTTGAGAGGGATGGAGGTGAGGAGGGAAGGAGCTGGGGAAGAACAGTGTTGTGACCTTGGGTGGTGTAGAGGTGTTGATGACAGTGCTGTGTCCGTGGGTGGTATTGACGGAAATCCGACACTAACATAGTAGATTACTAACACCCCATATGACCAGCAAACACGGTTATACTAGTTATATTAGTTAGTCATAGAAGTATTATAGAGAATGGGATATCCGTCACAACATCAAAACAAAAATTTAACTCATCATCATATCCTTAAACTAACAGTCTAGGCATTATAATTAATTGAAAAGTGATTTAAATGCTTTAACCTAATAAAATGTACCATCAAATTAAAGGCTCCCTCCTCATGTAAAAAAAAAGCAGAATTAGAACAATATTTTTGGAGATGCCAGGGAGGAGGCAGTCGGCTCGTCATTGATTTTTTTTTTTTTAATTTTGCCCCGAGGGGCGAGTTTATTGGGCAGCGCCACTCATCTTGTGAGTGGGCATACCGCCATAGCAGCAAGTACAACACTCCCTAAAAGGAAGAAAACCCGCTGGGTTGTTCATCCTGTCACTTGTACCCAGACACAGCTGGGACTTCCTTAACTGTCTCAAGTGAACAGCTCCTCAAACAAGAAGATTAACATCTGTCAACCTTAAAAGCTTACGTTATCTTGTGGGTGCAAAATGGGGGAATCTTTTAAGAACAGTATCAATATTTGTCAAATAGTGTTTTCCTAACTCAAACAATGTGGGGGTTCAGTATTATACACATATTTCGAATGTCTCTCAGGTGTTCATTGAATGTAAATAAAGAGCTCCTCGAGAGGTCTGCGACACGTATCACTACAAAGACTCGAAATTAGAAGTCAACCAACAGTGAATCTGCCTCAGCGACCTCACCTACATCGAGGAGTGCCTTTATAACCGGTTTGAACTAATTACCTTTCATTAGAAGGCCTAATAACATTAGATAAATTTCAACTCGGTTATATAGTAGGGTGAACACCCCAAAAAGGTTGAGCCTGGTTTTATACATTACACAATCCTAAGTCATGTATGTAACATTTATAGATTATAATATTGTTGTGCAATTGTTATGGTGTAAATACTCGGCAGGTAACCTTTGACGAACTGAGGAAATCACAGAGAGCTGTTAACGCCTGCATGAACCTGTACATACGCTTACTTGCTCTTAACAATGACCAAGAGCCGCCATTAATACAGGTCCAGGACGGATCACATGTGGTAAACCACAGTCTGAAGTTAGAGGACCAGCTCTCACACTAACAACTTAACAGCTGAGGCTAATGATTACCACTTAATTAACCCATTTTAGCTGTAGTACTAACAATAACATTGTAGTTTATTAATATCCACTATTTGTGGTATAGACTATGTATATACCCCCCCCCCCCAAACTTGTGTACAGTTAAACACCAGCAGGATAACTTTAAATACAGACCACTTTGAAATTTATTGATGACAGTGTTGTGACCAAGAGTTGTGTTGAGGTGTTGTGTCCATGGGTGGTGTAGAGGTGTTGATGACAGTGTTGTGACCAAGAGTTGTGTTGAGGTGTTGTGTCCATGGGTGGTGTAGAGGTGTTGATGACAGTGTTGTGACCAAGAGTTGTGTTGAGGTGTTGTGACTATGGGTGGTGTAGAGGTGTTGATGACAGTGTTGTGACCATGGGTGTTGTAGAGGTGTTGTGTCCATGGGTGGTGTAGAGGTGTTGATGACAGTGTTGTGACCATGGGTGTTGTAGAGGTGTTGTGTCCATGGGTGGTGTAGAGGTGTTGATGACAGTGTTGTGACCAAGAGTTGTGATGAGGTGTTGTGTCCATGGGTGGTGTAGAGGTGTTGATGACAGTGTTGTGACCATGGGTGTTGTAGAGGTGTTGTGACCATGGGTGGTGTAGAGGTGAAGAAGTTTCCTCAGTAGAAAACAAGGGATATCATTGCCACATGTCGCTATTAAATTCACCAGCTAAATAATGGGAAACATCCTTAATACATCAGTCTTTGGACTGTAAACATCATAAAAATATTTCCCGTTAACAAACTTAATTATCAGTGCCAAAATAGAGTAAATGTAGGCCTTAAAACCACTTCTTGACACATCTGGACAGGACGCTGGATGGATCAGTCGCCATTTTTTTTAACGTGTCTCGCTGGGGCAAATTTAGCTCCAATAATTTATCCTTTGAACAACAGTGTTATGGGTTGTAAAGTGCTCCCATTATCAACACAACTTCGTCTATTATCAAGGGAAGTATCCTAATTCCAAAACCTTTTATCTTTCCTTCCGGATCAGTGTAATGTAGATATATTAAGACGAACCGGTTAGGATGCGTATCGAGACACAAAACAGGGTAAATATTATTTAACTTTTATTCAATCAACATATTAATATTTCCCCTGATATAGCTGTCATATTTAGGATTACTGCTATTATTTGTGAGTGCACATTGACAGGTGTAATTGAAGGGGAAAAGGAAGAAGAATGAAATCTAGTTACCTTGTACTCCAGTACATGAGTTGAGGGGCAGCGTCGTCCATAAAGTACTCACCTAGTTGTACTCACCTAGTTGTGCTTGCGGGGGTTGAGCTCTGGCTCTTTGGTCCCGCCTCTCAACCGTCAATCAACAGGTGTACAGATTCCTGAGCCTATTGGGCTCTATCATATCTACATCTGAAACGCATTATAAATACAAAGTGTATTGACTGGCGTGTTAATACATGTTCATATCTGGTTGCCTAGGATATAACAGCAATACAGATAAGGCCTCCCATTTTAGTTAATAATATATTTAGTCTAATACTGTAGTGAATGTCTACTAACAAATAATTTAAATTGATGACTATACATAAATAAACTATAACCCCCCAGAATGTGTAAGGAAGCGATTTGTGGGATTCTAAATCATACAGTTCACTTCAAACGTCAAACAGTTTGCTATCGAAAAATATAAATTAACGTAAAATATAAATTACTATATAAATTAATATAAACAAAAAAACAAATCTCACTGGTCAGTTTCCTCACAGGTGATGTAGAGGTGTTGATGAGTGTTGCGTCCGTGGGTGTTGTAGAGGTGTTGATGACAGTGTTGTGACCGTGGGTGTTGTAGAGGTGTTGATGACAGTGTTGTGACCGTGGGTGTTGTAGAGGTGTTGATGAGTGTTGCGTCCGTGGGTGTTGTAGAGGTGTTGATGACAGTGTTGTGACCGTGGGTGTTGTAGAGGTGTTGATGACAGTGTTGTGACCGTGGGTGTTGTAGAGGTGTTGATGACAGTGTTGTGACCGTGGGTGTTGTAGAGGTGTTGATGAGTGTTGTGACTGTGGGTGATGTAGAGGTGTTGATGACAGTGTTGCGTCCGTGGGTGTTGTAGAGGTGTTGATGACAGTGTTGTGACCGTGGGTGTTGTAGAGGTGTTGATGACAGTGTTGTGACCGTGGGTGTTGTAGAGGTGTTGATGACAGTGTTGTGACCGTGGGTGTTGTAGAGGTGTTGATGAGTGTTGTGACTGTGGGTGATGTAGAGGTGTTGATGACAGTGTTGTGACCGTGGGTGTTGTAGAGGTGTTGATGAGTGTTGTGACCGTGGGTGTTGTAGAGGTGTTGATGAGTGTTGTGACCGTGGGTGTTGTAGAGGTGTTGATGACAGTGTTGATGGTGTTGCAGCTACGAGCCGCTGCACCAGTGGAAGATCAAGGTGTTGCGAGCCAACGACTCGAGCACACACGCCGCCATCACCCTCCTCTCTGACCTGTTCCACTGTCGGCTGGAGCGGCACCAGGACCAGGTGGCCTACATGGCCCAGCAACACTGGTACCTGCGCTGGAACACCCGCCTCGCCTCCCGCTGCCGCTACCCACACCAAGATCACCAACAACAGCCGCCAACCGGCCAGCAGGAGTCGCAGCCGCTGCTGAGTCACCGGCAGGATGAGGAGAGGTCCTCCTGCTCCAATGTTACCCTGGTCAGCAAGGTGTGCCGCGCCTCGAGTCTTCACGTGGCCAAGGTGAGTGACGCGCCTCCACTTCACCCTCGTCACATCCGCGCCTCGCCTCCACCTCACCCTCGTCACATCCGCGCCTCGCCTCCACCTCACCCTCGTCACATCCGCGCCTCGCCTCCACCTCACCCTCGTCACATCCGCGCCTCGCCTCCACCTCACCCTAGTCACTCCCCGCGCAACGCCTCCATCTCACCCTCATCATACCCACGCCTCGCCTCTACCTCTCCCTCCTCACACCCGCGCCTCGCCTCTAGCCTGTCCTCTTAAAAAGTACGTCGCTTTTGGCCGTTACCCGTATGGCCGAATTTGGACGTAATTTGAAAATGAAAAAAAAATGAAAATAAATTTTGGATTTTTTTTCAACAACAGTAAGTTAAGGGTCCTCTGATAGGTCAGGTGGGCAGGAAATTCTCATAAAGTTTCAAAACGTTATGCAAAACGTTAATGGAAAGTTTCCTTTTCTAAGCTGGCCGAGTAAGCCGGACGACTCAAACAGAAAACGGAACAGATCGTCACTTTTGTGAGTCGATTTCATTTCAAATTACGTCCAAATTTAGCCATAGTGCGCATACGAGCCAAAAGTGACGTTATTTTTAAGAGGACGGGTTCTCGCCTCTACCTCACCCTCCTCACACCCGCGCCTCGCCACCACCTCACCCTCCTCCCACCCGCGCCTCACGTCTCCAACTCTCTAAACGTCTCACTACGATAGAATTATTTTCTTTATTGTCATAATTTAGCAAGATCTGGACTAAACAACTGGATTGTTTTCATTGGATATTTTGTATCCAATGAACTGAACTATATATAGTTAAGTTTAATATAAATATATGAAATGCACTTACATAGTTTTAAAATAGTTTGTTGTGAGTTATGTTTGACAAAGTCTGCGTCGTGTTCTGTCTCTTCTCCCGGTACTTTAAGTATTGCAGATTTCTCTTGTCATTTTCTGCTTCATTGATGCTTTAACAAATTACGAAACGTTGATCCAAGTCCTTGACTAAGCATATCATACTGAATATACCAAAACAAGAGTCAATGATTCTGGTACAAAACTTCTGTATTTCTTAGCTTCTTAAATTTAGTAAGGAACTTGAAACAATTAATATCTGAAGATAATTTTAAACTTTTTACGGGACTAATGCTGTTTGCATTTTTTCAATTCTAATGCCAAATCTTAACCAAGGAGGGGTAAGTCCAGCTAAGCCTCCTCGGAGATAGAGGAGAATTGAATGCAAAATATGAGCCCAGCCTCCTGTTTCCCTCTGGCTGGTCAACGTAGGAACTCCCCTCCCCGCTCAGCTCGTTGTCGCCGTGTGGGGGCTTCGTGGGCGGCTGCCGGAGTGTGATGCTCCTTAGGACAGTCCTCTGTCCTTTTCTAGCCTTGTGCTCCTGCTGCCGTCCTCTCCAATTCTGCTGGGCACCTTTTCCTTTTCCTTCTGTTTCGTTTTTCTCCCCCCTCTTCTCCTATCTGCTTGCCGTTTCCTGCCGACCTTTTGCTCGTTCTGGTTCTTCCATGGACTTCTTCTATTTTGACGCCCGGGTGCTTGAGGAGGCATACTCATGCACCCGTAGAACTGCAGTACCCGACGTCGAGAGCGAGGGGAACCTTTTATTGTCAATCCCCACTTCGTCACTGAACCCGATCTCGACGGACTGTCGGTTTCTTAAGGTGGCGTTTGTGGGGCGTATACTCACGACGCACCCCTAGGAGGCCCCGACAAGATCGGCGATAGCTTCTTGTTGGGTGTCCTGCCTCTAATTGTGGCTCCATGGTGGGTGTGGGGGCACATTCGTGAGTGAATTCTTCTTTTCGTCAAGATGATAACCCCTGTTTCGGCTGCTTCTGGCTTACCTTCTCAGGCTCGTGGGGTGGGCGACCAAGCCCCCGAGTCGGTCCGTATTGGAAGACCGGGCTCTGTAGCCTCCGCTGCATTGGGCCCCGACCTTGCTCCTCCTTTGGCCTCTCTGACTCCTTCCCCTGGCTCCCCTCCCTCCTCTGTGGTTGGGTCGAGCCCCAAGCCCCCAGTGGTGACTACCTCGTCCCCTGGCGCGGCTCCTTCTCTAGTTGTAACTACTGCGCCTTTTAACCCCTCTCTCTCTGGGGGTTCTCACCGCCGTCCTCGTCACGGCCGCCCTCGCTCGATTCCTTCCAGTTCTGCTACCTATCAAGCCTTGTTTGGTCCCGCTTCGTGGGCCAAATATTTTGATCTCCTCCCTCTTGATTCTGCGCCTCCTGACGATTTCTCCCTTCATCGACATCTCATTGATTCCGTGGATGCCTCCATTACTTTCAACCCCACTCGTCTCGGTACACGTGTCGTTGCTGCTCCTTCTCAGGATGCTGCTTCCCGCTTGGCTGCCTTATCCTGCCTTGGCGAGACCCCCGTTCGGGTCTCGAAGAACGCTCAGTTGAATGCCAGTGTTGGCACTATTTTGCTCCCGCCCCATGTTGCAACCGGTGTTCGGGACCTGCGCGACTGCCACGACGATATTCGACATATCCTCGCTGCCCAGGGCCATTCTATTCTCCAGGTGGACACGTTTACTCGTCCCCCTCGTGGTAGTCGCCGTCAACCCCTCCGGGTTGTGAAGATTACCTTTGATGGTAGGACCCTTCCACCCTCTGTCATTCTTGCTGGTGCCAGGTGCTCTGTCCAGGAGTACATTCCTTCTCCTCGGCTCTGCAACAAGTGCTGGAGGTTTGGGCATGGTGCCCTCCGCTGCTCCGGGACTGTCTCTCTCTGTCCTTTGTGTGGTGGCGAAGGTCACTCTAAGTCGGAGTGCACTTCTCCCCAGGCTCGTTGCCTCAACTGCGGTGAGGCCCATCCTACCTTCTCCCGTGCGTGTGTCCATTACAAGCTTGAGGCAGCCGTCCTCAACCTGAAGCACCGGGAGCGTTTATCTTTTCCTGAGGCGAGGCGCCAGGTTCGCCGGCTCCCGCCTTATGCTAATATCTCTTATGCTCGCGTGTTGCGCTCTTCCTCTCCTCGTCCTTCCCGCCTTCCTCAGACTCACAACCGTTTCCGGGCCTTGGACCCTGATGCGCCCACTGCCCCCTCCTCTGTTCCTTTGGGTTCTCTCCCGAAGGATCCTCCTCCTGGTCCTCTGTCTGGGGTTCCCCTTCCTTCTACCCGGTCTGTCGTGTCTTCTGTGTCTTCTTCCTCGTCCCCCTCCGATCCTCCTTCCCATCCTCTTCCTCCATCTATCGGCTCTCCCCACCGCCTGTCGGTGCGGGCGGATGTCCATCGCTCTCCTAACGGCCGTCGTGTGTGCTCTCGTTCGGCTTCTCCTGTTGAGACACTGGAATCCGTTGCCCGGTACGTAGTTGCTGGGACACCGGTCTCTTTAAGTCAGAAGCGTAAGCCTGGCTCCTCTCCTTCCTCTTCCCCGGCGGGTAAGAAGGCTTCGCTTTCTTCCTCAGCTCCTCCTTCTGGCTCTGTTGCTCCTTCCCCTCCCGTTTCAGTGCTTGCGCCCCCTGTTCCTGCTATGGAGGTTTCTTTGGCCCCTGCTTCCCTTTCGGTTGCTGCTCTTGCTGGGGTGCGCTCCCCTCTTTCTACTCCCCCTCCTCCTGCTGCTGTCCTTGACGGCTCCTCTCCGTTGTCTCCTCCTCTTCCTCCTCCTCCTCCTCCTCCGGACCCTGCCCGCCCACCTCTGATCTGTTCTCCCGTTTCCTTCCCTCCGTCTTTGCTCAGTTTACCCATGCCCCCTAACCCTGACTTTGCTGACCCTGATCCCGACCCTGATATTCTTTAACGTGCTCTGTTGCTCTTTCGCCTTTGTTTCTTCCTTGTTCTCTGTTTTTGTCCTTTCTCTTCTCGTCGTTGTCCATTCTTCAATGGAACGTTCGAGGTTATTACGCCAATTTCCTCGAACTCCAACTTCTGATTTCGCGGTTTTCGCCCCTTTGTGTCTGTCTCCAGGAGCCAATGCTTGGTGCTCGTCCTGGTCGTTTTCGTGGCTATTCCTTTCTCTCCCCCCCCCCCAGCCATTGCTGGGGCTTCTAATTCTTCTGCTCTCTTGATTCGGGCTGATGTTCCCTTTGTTCCTTTACTTTTTCCTTCGCCTCTCCATTGTTCTGCTGCTCGTATCTTTGTGGGGAAATGGTACACAGTTTGTTCCATTTATCTCCCCCCGAGTGTCCCGCTCTCTCTTCCTGATTTGAAACACCTCCTGGACTCCTTGCCGGAGCCTGTGCTCCTGCTGGGTGACTTCAATTGTCGTCATTCTCTTTGGGGTGACGTTCTGACGAATACCCGGGGTCGCCTCCTTGAGCCGTTTCTCCTCTCTTCTTCCCTGTCTCTTCTGAATTCTGGTGAGCCCACTCATTTGGACTCTCGGACTCGCACCCTTTCTTGTCTTGATCTTTCTCTCTGCTCTTCTTCTCTTTACTTAGATTTCACGTGGCAGGTTCTTGATGACCTCCATGGAAGTGATCATTTCCCCATCCTTGTTTCCTTTTTCTCTTTTCGCCCTTCCCTCTCTTTCCCTAGGTGGCAGTTTGCTAAGGCAGACTGGACCCTATTTACCCTCAGTGCTGCTCTCCCTGACCTCTCCCTTCTGCCTCTCTCTCGCGCTCTCCTCCTTTTTCATGACACTGTCTTCAACGCTGCCCTCCGCTCTATTCCTCGCTCTTCCTCTCGGGGTCCACGGAAGTGCGTTCCCTGGTGGAATGCGGACTGTGCTCGGGCTGTCCGCTGTAAGCGTGCAGCCTGGAAGAGGCACCGCCGTAGGCAGACGACCGATTCTTTTCTTTTCTTTCGGAAAGCGAGTGCGGTGGCCCGTAGGGCCATCCGTACGGCTAAACGTGAATGTTGGGCATCTTATGTCTCAACAATTACGTCCGAGACCCCTCTGGCCCAGATCTGGAAGCGTATCCGCAAGATAGCGGGTAAGTTCGTTCCCGATGTTTCACCGGTCCTTCACCTCCATGATACTCTTGTGGCGGACCCGTTGCAGGTCGCTTCCGAACTGGGTTCCCACTTTTCTTCTGTTAGCTCTGG